CAAGTGAGAGTCTGAGTCCAGCGAGGTGTCTGCCTGTTTGTATCCGCTCAGTAGCGCCTCCAGTCCGGATGGACACGTGTCTCATCTCCAGGAGTGCGTAGCTCAGAACTTCCACCCCTGCAAACCGGCTCTCTCTCCCCCGCCGCCCCACCCACCATCACCAGAGACTTCTGTCTGATTTATTGCCCCCAATCAAACGCACCACGCACTTAGTTAACACTTTCACACCGTCCCGGGAAACTGGCGCTGCCATAAAAGCATTAAGAGGCTGCACCCATCTGAGTCTTAGTAAACAGCAAACATGTGTTGGGCTTTCCCTGGACCTCCCCACTTATAATGCAACATATTATTATTTTTATAATAATAATAATAATAATAATAATTACTATTATTATCCTGTTGTTATTAGTTAGATGTTTTTTGTTATAAATCTAGATGTGCAAAATTTAATTTAATTCACAGCTGCAAAATGCAAAAAAAAAAAAAAAGGAAAAAAGAAAAGAAAAAGAGGGCAATCACACGCGAGTGACTTGAGGGCTGTTTTGTTCGACGGTAATTATGCAGATGACACAATTTCACATTCTCATAAGCAAACATACACGGCCTATCGCTCAACAGTAGTTCCTTATGCAATACTCAGGGCACCGGCGACACGTCGCAAATGATGAGCCGAGACGCTCTGCAAAAACAGGCGGGATCAAAGGCTTCAAACAGAGACACTTCAAATTACACATTTGGATCTTTTCCATAACGTTTCAGCGACACACAGAGAGGCAGAGGGGAAAGGAGCACAACTCCTATCACAAAATCGATTAAGAGAGTCCATGTTGATCAGCTTTGCAGTTAATCAACAAAAACAAAACATGCATTTAAAAATGACATGCAATGAATCACAAATAATTTTAATAAAAGCTCATAATCATCTTTGCTAGTAGCTTATCATGAAAAATAAAACAAAAAAGTTTGTGAAAATTTTAAAAAGGTGCCCAACCTTTATTAATACAAACTCATTATTTGGAGCTGCTGCATATGAGAGATGCTCCTCTGTGGGTTCAGACCTAAATCTGTTCCTAACCTAAAAAACTAACTGTGCAACACATTTAATCTCCAAATATGCTCTTTTCAAACTCATGTCCCATTAGGGTTAAATAAAGGGCCCATAAATCTGGCGGTGTTTAAAGAACAGAGGCTTAATCCAATAAATGAATTAGTTTCTGGAAATTAATTGTTCTTAGCAGCAGAAGCAAGTGTACTTTGAAAATACATTTAAAGTTTAATTTTTTTTCACTGTTGGCATAATTTAAAGAGTAGGATTTTTAATTACATTACACCAACCAATCATGCATGTTAAATAGATAGCCCAAGTTTGATTTGCATTAGTGAAAAAAATTAGAACATTTTGGTACCCTTTCCTTGTGCTTGCACCATTTGGAAACAAATTAATAGTCAATGGACTGCAACTTATTAAGCTGGGTTATGACGGCAGATCAAAGTGTGAATTAATGCATTACCTTGCAAGTGCTTCACATTAAGTTGTTAACTTCAGGATGTAGGCAACTTCTAAATTGTCAGACAAGATGAAGCATCCGCTTTATTTTCAGGTCGCGCAGAACTTTGGCCAGGCAGCTTCAGCCTTATAAATTCTTTACAATGTGCATTTTAATGAAAATACAGCACATAAGCATACATAAAGTGAATGAAAATATAAAAAAACTAAATAAAAAATTATTTAAAACCGATCATAACCCTGCTGTGGGGTTTCTTTAATACCCATCACTCCACTCAATATCTTCATTCATGTCTTTGGATAATTTTATACCTATATTTTAAAATGATTCATCCATAGATGCTTTTTATAGTTTTAGTTTGTTATATGACACAATGCCATAGTTGAATCAGACTTAGGATGAAAAAATAATTGTCAGATATTTGAACAGGACCTAAATATTTAGCCATGATAACTGGGGGTTATTTTTTAATAAAATAATCCTGTAGCATCACATCCTATCACTGTAAAATGAGCTATTACGATATCTTTTACACTTTATCTACTGCATGCAACATTGAAATACACTTACATTGCACTTTGGTGATGAATCTGGGGCTTAAGGGAACATAATGTCCACACAAATAAGCAATGCTTGCTTTGAAGGTGAGTTGTACCTTTTCTCCAATTTGCTTCCTCTCCGTCCATTCCCCTTCACTCTATTTGCTTCAGTTTCCCCTGTATCAGTAACACAAGGCATTGATTTTACGGTAAAGTCACTTTGTAAAAGGAATGAGTAACTCTGGGCCCCCACTATCACTGTATTACACGGGTATGGCCCACGTAACAAGATGAACATTGATTCAGCATTACGGATGATCGATAATGAAATAAGTAACTTCAGGGCCAAATTAAAATGCAAGCTGGCTTGATGCTGCCAGGCACTTTGAGAGGTGACAGCAGGAGAAAGGAAAGAAGAGGAAGGGAGAGGAAAAGGCAATGAGAGGAATACAGAAACTGCAAGGTGGTGGCACTAGAGAACTTTCAGGATACAGTAAGGTTGAGTTATTTGTTGAAATATCCCTTTATTATCCAACATTTTCAGATCTTTATAGCTTTACTCCCATTAGGAAGAAAATTGTGTGCCATCAGAATTTAGATTGATGCGGTTTCCACAGATACATTTTGAATGCAGTAATTAGTTCTGATGTTTGTATTTGTGGTCAAAGATTGATTCTCCATGTTAAATACTAAATACGATGTAAATTAACTTTGCTGGCCTGTTAATTTGAAAGGAATTAACATTTCACATCAAATGGAAACGTGGCTTAACATTGCCCCTGGCATGATAGGAAGCTGATGACATGGGTAGATGATCATTTGCCTCTGGCAGATGGAATTTAAAAAATGTTTATAAAATATTTTACCACAGGAAGTGTCTTCATAATTTGTTTTATTATGCTTTCTTTGCCAGTAAATGGCTAATGACTAATCAGGAAATAAATCAGGGAAATAGGTTTAATTCAGCACATACTCTGGTTGTTTATAACTGTCTTTATTTTTCTTAAACAAACAGCCT